ACAAATACAGTTATAACATCTACCAAACGCTTTGAAAGTTAGTCACCTGAAATTAGAAACATCAGGTAAATAAAGTGTGGTAATGTCTTTGGCATTGTTTTTCTTTTTGTTTCTCTGTGACATGTTTACAGTGCAGAGAAGTTGTGTCTGTTATCAAGATTATTTCTTCAACATGGACGACATAATGAAACTATGTTATGTTATTATTTATGTATTGAATAAGCATTGTTTGGTAATAACACATCAGAGTTGATGCAAATGAACAAATATGGACAATCACTGAAACCAGCCCAACATCAATACAATGGCGCCACCCACTGGATTGAAAGCATCAGGTTCTGTGTTGCCTGGAGATGGCTTCTGTTTGGGTACACAGTGAAAACTCAACATACTGCATTAGAGATGAAACTTCTCAGTAAGAACAGGAAATGTGCTTTATTATTGTATCAATGTGTCATTAATGTGTGGTTTTAGAACTGAGGTTCTTCACAGCAGCCATTTGTAGCAACAGGTCAAAATCACTGAGCCAGTTCATTTCAGCTGCTACTGAGATTTAAGCCATTTTAGGAGAAAGAGAGAAAAACTCATAACTGTAATATGAAGGTTAGTCAGAATCTTCTCAGTTAGTGCATCATCCAAATTTCTGTGAAAAAAATACTCAAACGTTTTTCTTGGCTGTTACCTGGGGTAAGAGCCAAATGAAACAGTAATTTCAGCATTTTTTCCCTCTTAAAGAAAATAAAAATCCTGTCAACCTCTCCTTAATCCCACCTGGATCACCACAGCAGACCGAGCAGCTGAGATGAGCTTTGTTTGTGAGGTCTCACCCTGTCTGTCGTTCTGATGAAGAATGGGACCTGTCTGGTTCTTTAAATGCAATCTGTAGTGAGTATTTACCTTGAATGAACAAACTGAGAAACCAGGAAATACATTCAGTACGTATGCTATGTAAACATGGCCTTTTTCTGTACGTAACAGAACAAACCTCAGCATCTTGGATGTGTGCCTAGTTCGGTGCATTACTGGAATTTCATGGCTGTAGTCGGGGATAAACTTAAGCATGTACAAGTCTGAGAGTCTGAGAACATTGTCAGTGTCGCATTTTATTGCACAGGAAACAGAAGGAGCTTCAACATGTACTTTCTTCAACATGGTTCGATATTCACACGCTAAATGGCAAGACTTGGTGTTGATACAGGTTTGGCAGCAGCATCGGTGACTATTTAATGTGTTAACGTGTTGATGTGTTAGGAGGAAGAGCAGTGGCTCATACTGGCACGGAGCTCTGAGTGAAACACTACAGCAGTCTGGAGAAGCTGCAGACATAAATGCATACTCTGTGTTGATCAGTTAGTTTCAATGAAAGCCATCTGTCTAAAGTTCAGAGGAGAGATGCCGTTTAGTTCATCCTTCAACAACTAAAAATGCACTTTTGCAAATGCAGTGAGGAAAGAGGACAGACAGTGTGGTGGGCAAAAAGGATGGTAAGATGAGTCATAGCTTTCAGCCTGCTCTCAGCAAGTGGATAAGTGAATGTGGTATGTCCAAAAAAAAAAAAAAAAAACGTTGCTTAAGGCGAGTTGTTGATGTGGCGACTCTGTTGTGGCTTAGAGTTAATTTTCCTGGAGTGTATGTCTCGGTCTATAGCCTGGGTAAGGGCCAGAAAAGTCAATGTAAGCAACAAATAGTTCTCACCCACTGAAATCACGGCTCACTGAATAGTAAAGTAAGTTGTTTCTTGTCTAAACAGTTAACAACACCTTTATAAACATTTGAAGAGAGTTATGTAATGTAGCATCCTTCCTTTTAATTTGGATTAAACCAAACCAACCCCAAGAGTTGATCATTTTAACAAGCATATTACTTTCTAATAACAGCTAGGAACATGCTACATTTGCTGTTGAACCCAGTGATCCACTCAAACCCCCCCCCCCAGTAAATAATGGGAATAATAATCTGATTCTTGATTTTCAACCGATTTTTTTTTTTTGTTTGCAGATTTGTTTTTCCCCATTCCTCTCATTATAGAATACATTATCTGCTCTTTAGTACTGGCCAACAGGTGAACTAGTTGAACTGCAAGCAGGCTCCAACACTGAGATTATCCAGCGGCACCACTGCAGCCATGTAAAGGGCTGTAAATGTCAAGAATGTCTTGAACAATGTTGTTTATCCTGCATATTTTAGTCAAGTTTTCACTTAAATCAGTGTGAAAGATGTCAACACACTTCACAGCATTATAGCCCACGGTGTTGAACAAAATAAATGTCAGGACATGGAATATCTCCTAAGACTCTGACAGGCTGCAATATTCATAATAATTATGTTATCCGCACTCCCACACTCTATCTGCTGCTATAAAAGGCTCCCAAAACAAAAGTGGTCACATTTCATTAGTCACAAAGTTTAATGCCTCACTGCATCTGAAAAATGGGGACCTAAAAAGGCAGTGTCCATTTTTAAATTGGATGCCTCTAACAGTTTCATTTTTTCCCTCTCATTTCAACCTACATGTCGGTGCTTCAGCCTGTATCTTGTTTTGGCAGCACCCTGCAAAAATATATATATAAAGTTGAACATGCAATACTAAACCATGGATTTTAAACTAAGCTCTTTTGTACATTATTGTTGTTTCTTTATGAATTATAAATCCAATGATTTCTGGTAACATTTGATGTTTCATATTCCCACTGAGTACATTAATCTTGAATGTTCACAGCTACAGCAACAATATTCAGTAATGATGTTGAATCATTAATGTTTGGTTCCATAACTTGTTTATCTATGCTGAGTCATATGTTTGAGCCAGCGCATCAGGTAAATAATCTGACAGAGAACCCTTCAGCGAACAGTGAACCTTTGTCTTCTCTGTGTTCCCTAATAAAGGATACAGAGAGTCCAATGCTCACAGACCAGTGCTGTACATATGCCAGGGAAAATATGCTTTTAAATGCTTAAAATTTAGGTACATCAATTTGTTTCAGAAGTCAGTTAAAGTTCTGCCTAGTTAATCTGAAAATTGACCCATGACTGAGAAAATTTGCTTTTCCTAGCACCAAGTGTAACAGTAAATTATGTGGTGCAGTGCGCTGACTTTACATACTGCCTGAGAAGTGGCACAATTCTGGCTGTTTGGGCAGTAAAGGAGGCAGTAAAGGGTTATAAAAGAAAAAGGATGTGACTACTTTGTCATATCAGACAGATGTTCACACAAACTTTATTTTAGTGAGAAAAAAACTCAGCACTGATATGCAAATAATTTCTTGTTTGGCTTCTCAATGAACATCAGATCTAATGTTTCATATCAGCAATTTTGTCTTTTATGTTCCCGCTCAACTCCTCCATGCTAAATTATCCGACACTGTTTATCATCAGCCTTTTCAAAAAAATCTCTTAAGTACAGCCTTCTACAATCACTCTCAAACTGGAGATTGAATCAGTTCCCTTTGTTGCCTGATACCATTTTCTTTATTTGATTTACTTTTCCCGAGGTGCTTTCAGTGAGCCAAAGTAAAGTCGGCTCAGCATTCTGTGCTCTCTGTTTGATAGAGAACCAGCACACAATGCTCTCAGCTGAAACTAGCTTAAACAAACAGTGTAGAGAAAAGCAAACAGTCAAGAGAAAATCAATGGAAACACTTCAGGGAAAAGACATTTGTTCTGACGGTGTGATTTAACTCTGCGAAAATGGAAAAATTACAAATGTCACACAAGGTGTTGAATAACATGTATAGCAGTTTTTGTTATTGGCCTGCACACACGTTTTATTGAGAGACAGCACTCAAGTTGAATTAGCTCTTTGTTGTTTTTAGTAGCAGCCACCGTACTGAATAACATCTTTATTAAAAGGTAAACAGATCAGATAACTTACTGCAGTCAATATTTATTTATATCTTATGCAACACATTTCCATTTCAGTATCAAAAACATCAATGGTCTAGTCTAGAATTTCAGTGACTGAAGGAACAGTGTACTTTACATGGCACCACTCTAAACACTGAGGTTTGCATTTGGCAATAAAAACCAGAATGCCAAATGCCAAAATGTTATGATTACACTGGACTTGACATTATCTGCTTTGTACATATCTAAGTATAAAAATAGTGAGTACACTAAAACGAAAGACAACAATAGTTTATGACACATGTACTGTAAAACAGCGTCTTTACAGTTTGTTTACTGGCATCAGGAAACTTAAAAGGCACGTTTCACTTTGGAAGAACATTCTCATTTTCAGCCCACAAATCTACAGTAAATATGAGTTAATGTATTGAAACCCTTAAGATTGTTAGTCAGCAACGGTGTTCACATTTATTGGTTTTCTGACCCCCTACAAAACTAGGACCTGCAACTCCCACTCATTCGAACATGATAAGTTCCATAATAGTGATGTGCATCCTAATAAAGAGGAACTGAATATAGTTTGTAGGTATATTCTGTTGAATCAGTATGTGAAATCATCTAAAGAAAGATGGAGAGGCTCATTGGCACTGCAGAGGTTACAGCGGTGTAGTATTAAAAATCAAATCAGATGCATAAATAATCGGATAGAAAAAAAAAACATCAGATGCAATGTGCCATTTGGGTGCTATAGAGTCGCAGAAACACTCAGTGTACTGAGTATATGATTAAAAGAATGCAATCTATCTGAGTTAATAGTGTCTCAGTTAATAATTACCCACTTTTCAAGGGTAAAGAAATAATATATTTGAACACATTCCTACATGATAGTTGAGATTACTGCAGGGCGTCAGTTCCTAACTATTGTAGATTTAAGTTTAAGCAGGACCGCATTTTCAAAAACTGAAAATAATCTACCAAATTAAATTTTACTTTCAGGCTCTATTACACTGGCAGAGAAATATCCTTCTGTCTGCAAGATGAAGCGACATTCCTTCACAGCTCAACAATTGTGAGTACATCTGTATAATCACCAAGTGAGATTTGGATATATAGTGCAAGTACCTGACTGAATTTCAAATTCAGTTGTTTCTAATGGTTTGGTAAAAAAAAAAAAAAAAAAAAAAACTAGAAAAGAGTTACAGAAAGAGAAATAGTTAAGTAACATCTTTAACAAAACCTTATGTAACAAAACCTCTCCCCAAGTGCGCGGAGGTCGTCGACGTCACCAGACTGCATTTGCAAAAAGCTTAGCTTTTCGGGTATGCAGAGGCTCGAAAGATGTCGAGACAGTTTGCTGTGATGAGGGCACCAGTCAGCTGCCTCCACTGTCTGGTGGCAGGATTTCTCATTTTGTCCAGGACCAGGTGCAGATCCTGGATCATGTCCCTGTAGCTGTCTCCATAACGCAGACTCCAGGAGTACAGGAAGTCGTAGGCAGGCTTCCACATTGACTGCAACAGAACAGTGGATGGTGAATTGATTAGTAAAATAAAGTGCACATCATATTCAAGCCTGTCAGATCAGTATCATTTACTGTATGTCCATTACTTGCTTTGTCAATGTATACCGTTAAACTGACCTGGGGACCAACTTCTCCACTCCTCCCTCGGTGTGGTGCCTCATAGCTGGCTATCTGAATGCTGGAGAGTTTTCCTATCTTCTCAGCAAGCTCCCGCCATCGAACCCCGAGCTCCACAGCAGTGGACAGGATGACTGTGTTCTGAATCAGCTGAGCCACTAGATTCACAGAGTCCATCTTGAGCAGGCCCTAGGATGAAGAACACATACATAAGCTCCTTCAAAACCACGGAAAGCACATGAAATCACAGCATACAAATTTATTTTTCTTCTTTGCTTTTTTGTAAGTAGACACAAGGATTGAATTCTTTTAATTCTTTTATTAACAAGGTGAATTTGCCAGAAATGAAAATCTATTGTCTTTCTCTACTCACCACCATGAGTTCATGCAGAAACTTTTTCCTGCTCTTCTCAGCGTGACAGTCTTCCTTCAGCTTTTCCAGAACACAGGCCACCTTATCAGCTTCAGTTTCAGCGTGCCTCCGTGTAATGGTGTCCAGCGACAGGTTGCTGTACCCTAAAGCATCAGCAAAGCCTGTCCAACTGGTTATATGCTCAGTGACCAGTGTCTGGATGGCAGAGTACATGTAAGTAAGCTTCTTGAAGGGCAGCGTCATGTTGTCCAAGAGGACCTCTGTGCCGATTTGAATGCCTGTAAAGTCAATCACCTGGTCTCTGGTAATGAGCTTCATGTTTTTGCAGTGAACCAAACCAGTCCTACCTCGCAGAAATCCGATATACCACTCCTTTACTTTTGAATTACCCACCGACCTAACGGTCTCTCTGGAAAGGAGAGCCACAGTGTCCCCCTTGAAGTACTCCAGAAGGTAGTCCACGCGTGGCTGACGTAGAACAGACTTTAGGGCTACACCGTACCACTGTAGGTTCACAGGTTTGTCTTCAAATTTGAGGAAAACTGGACCACTTTCCTCAGGAATGGCCAAGGTTTTTGCCATTTCAGTCCGCCTTTCTATCTGCCTTGGCGCTCGCTTTTCTGATCGAATGGGTGCTGCAGAAGGGGAGGGCACCTGGAAATGTGCAGCAGTCGCAGTGTTTGATTCCTTCACTTGTAGGTCTAATTTAAAGGGAGTAATTTCTGTTTTACTGGCACAAGATAATGCAACTGGCAGATGCAAAACTGTGCCTATCTTGAGCTGACTTTGCCTCACTTCTTTCAGTTCGTCCTCAGGTTTGATTTTAAACCCTGAGTCTGTGATGCTAACTCTGACATGCAGGTTATTCAGTTTGTCTGGTTTAAACTGGAGTTTTCCCCAAAGCTGCAGAACAAGCGGAGGCAGGCTCTTGTTGCCTCTACATATATCTGAAAATGGAAGCTTTGGTGGAACCTCCTCATGACAGCAAACCACTATTACTACCTTGAATGATGGATGGATGTACCTGGGACCATAAACTGCTACAGTGATTTGGCGGTGAAGGTAATCCCATACTGATGTAGCAGGGGACTGAATTGCAGAGGCCTCTGCGACTGCAGTCACATAAAAATGTGTTTTCAGGTCCTGGAGCTTCATCTGCATCATGTTTTTGTAAATGTAACAATCATCCACTTTTATATAAGGTCCCTCTCTTTTGGTGGACACCATTCCGACCACAGTAGTCATCACCTGACTTAACGGGTCACCTTTCACCTCTCCAGAAAGTTTCATCTCCAGAGAGATACACTCCTTTATGTTGATGTTGCTGAGAACCACCTCTAGAAGCGGACTCATGGTTGTCATGTAGTTGTTATTGAGTCCAGGAGGAGGGTCTAGCATTGCTTTCAGTGTAACTTCCTGGACTTCTCCAGGAGGAACGTGGCCTTCCGGGATATGGATGCTAACTTCTGATTCCGGTAGCTGTACTGACCCTCCAGAGTGGCCGATCCTGCAGATAACCTGAAAGCCGGTGGCCTGTGTCTGAGCCCATCCGGGGCTCTGGCTCATCAGATTTAAGTCCAGGCATGAGCGGGTTAGCTGCCTGTGGCTCAGCCAGGCCATCTTATAGGCCTCTCTGTCGTTCTTCAGCCACTCAAAATCAGGGTTCAGCACTGGCCTGGGCGGTTTGAAGCTGTCCTCCCGTTTTGGCACTTTTCTCTCCAGATCATCCAGAATGTCCGAAGCACTTCTCCACCTTCCAGATCTGTTGGAGACTTTGTGTTTGTTTTCCAAAAAGTTCCCCAAGTTGCCTTCGTCTGAAGATGTGCTGATGTCGTCATCGTTATTTGTGTCAAGATGTTTTTTACTGTCTTGTTTTACATTTGATGTGTTGGAAATGTGTTTGTCTGTGCCGCTATGCACAATGTCATCTAAGAAAGGGTTTGATCCAGATAGTTTGTTCCAAAAGGGATTTTTTGTCTGAGATGGATGAGTGACTTCTGGCTGTAAAAGTGGCCACTCAGAGTTCTGTGTGATTCGTGTCACATACCCACCTATGAAAATAAAATAAAATAAAATAGTTTAGTTCTGTTACTGTAACATTATTGATTTATTGTAATTTCAAGCTGTTTATGTTTTAAAATTAGAATTTTACCATTCAGGTTGTCGCTTGTTGAGGCACTGTCACCCAGGTCAATCAGTGTCCCCTCAGATTTACTCCGCATTAGACTACCAACACGACGGAAGGACCTTGCTCTTTCAGCTGCCATATTTTCATCTGAAAATGTCAAAACAACAGTTTCATTTCTCTTTTTTCCATTTAACTAGCAGCTTTTATTAGTCTAAAAAAACATTAATTCATTATTTACATTATTCCTTAATTGATCTAACCAGGGGTCGTGAACAAAATGAATATCCAATATTTTTCCTATTTATTGATATAACTTATCTAAAGCTGAACAACTACTCAATTAATCTATTACCTATTAAACACAAAATTAATCGTCAACAATTCTGATAATCTTTAAGTTATTATTTAAGAAAAATGTCCACAGTTCACTGGCTCCAGCTTCTCAAATATGAATGCTGTCTGCTTTTCTTCGTCTTCTATCACTATAAACTGAAAATCTTTGGGTTTTGGACTATTGGTTGGACAAATCAAGCAATCTCAATGTGTCAACTCCGATTCTTGAAAATTGTGATGGGCATTTTCCCCTTCTGAACGATTAAGAAACTAATTGGCAGACAAATTGATTAAAGGAATTGTTAGCTGCAGCCCCAAACTTATCTATAAGCAGACATATATTTTAAAACGCTGTGACACATGACAACAACAAAACCCTACACAATAAAAGACATGTGAGTACAGTTATTGTTCTGTCTCTATGTTTCCCTCCCAGCCCCAGGGTTTCTGCAGGGCTTCTGTCTGTTACAGAAAACTGTTCCAAACGTGGAATAAAGCCTGAACTCTTCCGTATGTCACTTGTTTGCGTAAAAGGACACTACCCATTCATGACTTGTCACAGTGAGTCAGTCATTAATAATGTGGTTTATTACACCACTGCACAAAAACAGGTTGGTCTTGTCAAGCCTATGACACAGTAGTCGGTTCTCTCAGCGCTTCTTGCTATGATCAAAGTGCAGAGCCACTGTCCCTGTACTACTGACAGTAAAAACGTCTATTCTGATGAAATACTGCGTTGCAGACTTACTTTGTAGCCATTCTATTCTATTTCCTGTGTAGAGTATTATTCCTGTTCAATTTTAAATAAACTATTTAATCATATTCATGTACATGTTTTATATTTTGATTCAATCAGCTGCACATTTTTCCAAACAAACGTCACATTCATTAATAATCCAAACAGAGCAAGAACTGACTCAGCAGCACGGATTCAGACATAAGAGCTCCAGCTCCACTAACCACAGCAACAACAGCCCACAGTCTCACTGACAAGTGTCAGTGTCAACGCCTTAACAGGTGTGTACAGCTATAGTCTGTAGTTACATATTAATAAGCATGTCCTTTCTAGGCAACTTCCTGTTAATAAAATTCGGAAATAAAAACTATTAACTACGAGACAAAGAAAACAAAGACTGCTCTCACCGTCGGCATGAGATGTTCAGAGCTTTTCAGTGCGTTGGCAGGAAAAGAGGTCAGCCCTCCGTCACTCACACCGTTTTTTTTTTGTTTTTTTTGTCAAAGGAGGCTCACCTCCTCAAGTTACAGCTCTTTAGTTTGCCTCTTAGGTACGGAGCATTTTGGGACTGGAAGTTTAAAGTAACACCGGAACCCTTTTTGGGAGGAGTGGCCTCTTGTGGTTAGTAACTTCAACACCCACAATGCACCGCTCTGTTTACGCACCTGAACACCTGAAACTAAGCGATACCTGTAGTTTCGACAGGAGCCAGAGGTCGGTGATAAGCATGCTAACATTTTAAAAGGCAACAATAACATGCCGTCACACACTGGTGAAGGCTGCGGGCTGACTCACTGAGGAGACACTAGCAATAAGGTTAATCCACACAGTTAGTATTTAGACTAAAGATAGATGATACATTAAATGTATTTACACTGACGCAGCGTCTGCAGTCCACACAGCGTTGGCAGAATTTGGAAACCTAAAGCAGGTGCTAATTGTTGTTTTATATTAACAAAAGAACAAAAGAAGGCCAAGCGTCATGTCAGTGCTTCCTCCTCTTATTATTTCACAGCCACTCAGTTGATACTCAGTACACAGAGTTTCTTGGGATTTATTGATTTTACTGTGTCATTATTATCACTGCTGTTTTGAGTGAGTGTAGATGAAAGCCAACATGAACTGAGAGGTTAACAGATCTTAATCTCATCAAGGACAAAAAGTGATGTTATCTCACTGAACACGTTACACAAATTAACTGTGATGAGTGCCTGAATAGATCACTAATTGAGACTGTTAGCTACATCATATTAGAAAAAATATATAACAGGAGATCACAATTTTTGATAGCTTACAGCTGAACCCTTAAGTGCAACAGTTGCATGCCAAAGTGTATGAAAAGTTCTAGCTCCAAATATCCCTTTGGGACAAGCTTGTTGTTTGTATTACTGTTATCTTTGTTGATGAATATCCTTGCTAAGGTTGAAATGTCCCTTCAGAGCTGTTGTGGTCTTTGGATGCAAGCCCTGGCATCCAAAGGCAGTTGTTCTCAAGGAATGCAACTAAGCACTCTTGAGTAGATTATGAATTTTCATGTAGCGAATATGGTCAGTGGCTGCAACAGTCTGGACTTTAGCATGACTAATTCACATCCCCTAGTGCAGAAGTGAAAGTATTTTGTAAACTATCTGATTGAGCATCAAAAACCCATTAAATTACAGTTATGTTTACTACTTTTGTTTTGTAGCCAAATTTCCGATGCATGCATGATGTTGTTAACTTGAGTTAACATGAAATAGACAAAACCAGAGTACTTCTCACATTCCACCAGAACACAGTTGCAGTAATGTCATTATCAGCGCAGAGTCTGATCACTCTGTAGCAGGTATCTGAAACAAAAGATACTGTACATCTGTGAGCAAACTCTGCTCTCTTGTGGCTGTTTTGAGAATGAAGACGGCACAGGATTGTGTAATATTCACTATTTTTCTTATTTTCCACAAATCCCATGAAAAGTCCAAAACTAACAATGAATTGATTTGTACTAACAAGTGTTGTGTGTGTATCCAGAGCTTGATATAGCTTATTCCTCTGTGCTATTAACACAGAAAAACACATCAGTGTAGTAATTTACTCCTGTCTTCAGTAACATTTGCCTAAAACTACATTGCTTAGCTCTTTTGGAATTTACTGAGGCTTTTTTTTAAAAGTAGATAAGATAAATAATAAAGTACTGAAAGACAAATTAACATCTTTTTGGCTTCAGTCTTATGGGATTTGTTGACAAAAGAAAGAAGAAAAATATTGAGTAACGCCAGACTCATCCTTTAACACATTAGGCTTTTCTCACAAAATAAATTTTACATGTCAAAGCAGGAAAAGTGCAGGTGTAGGCTACATAATAAAGGGTTTGATGGTTGAATTCCATTTAGCTGCGTCAGTTTCAGGGTCCTGGTGTTGTGCATGCTGAATCCCTGTCACACTGTCATGGATTACTGGGACATTTGAATAGAATAGAGCCATTGTTAGTGTGTGTTTTTTTTTATTTCTACGACAAATGAAAACGTGCGAAAGGTCTTTTACCAATAGTAAGTTTGTCTTGATCATTGGTATGTTTGAAAGCAACAATGTAAGTACAAATGACCTGCTTGAACTTGCATTATTGTGCTGTAACTGTATGTACTGTATGTTGCCTGTGAATAAGAAGATTACTAAATATAAACAGTGAAACATGTTCATATTTTGCAGATGATTGGAATGAGGCCTTTGCTATTTGTCTTTATACTGTAACAATCGGCTCCTAAATATTCACATTGCAATTGTCCCCCTTACATAGTTTTACTTCTCTTTATCCTCAAATCATATTTCTGTGGGTGCACTATGCATTGAATTTTACAGATGTCTTTTGTTTTAGCAGCAACATTAACTTAGGCACAAAATGTTTTCTGCAGGAATCAGGAATAATTATGATTGTGTATTATAAAAGTCTTTCCTCCCTCACCCGATCTTTCATTTTCAAAAAATCTTCCAATTATAGTTGTTGTTTTACAGTGTGAAAACATTCACATTTCTCAAATTAGGCTGATTGTCAAGTTTCTAATAAAGTTAAGAGCTAATGTAATCTTTTATACAAAGCTACTGAACAAAGTACTAAACCCCCTGAATAAGGAAATACATTAAAATAGTTAGAATAACTGTTTCTCTGAGAAGTTGATGTTTTGTAGATAATGTCTATTGCATTTATTTTACATGTAAAAGGAAATGAATGCTTAGAGTTCGTGTTGGTGTCTTAGCCTTACATTTTTGTGTCACTTGGTGGAGCCATTTCTCCACTGTTCACTTGTGCAGACATGTAAGTGTTTTTTTTTTATTATTTTATTATTCTTAAACCAGAGAGTGGGCTGAGGTTGTATTTGTCTGTTTTTGATTTTCACCAATCCAACCAGTAAGTAGAAGCAGAAGTCGTGATTAAAACACTGGTGAATATATGGTTGTTTTAAAAGACCAAAACAGAGCTGTGTAAAACTCAGCGTACTACTGTAAGTATGAGCTGATGAAATACACGTCAACAGGTATTAAAAGGTTCATGTTCAGCAGCGATGAAGCTTTTTGATGGTCAACAGGGAATCTGCTTCTCTGTTATTATGCAGCAATAGCATTTCAGTGTAATTCTGCTATAGTGATTATGGCTGCAACTAAAGGATTGTATTCACTATCAATTAATCTGCTAATTATTTTCATGAGAACTCAATCAATCATTGGGTCTAAAACATCAGAAGATGGTGAAGATTGTCTATCACAGTTTCTCAGAGACCAAGATGATGCCTTCAATTGTCAAAAGAAGCAAATCTGCACATTTGAAAAACTTGAATCATCAAATGTTTGACATTTTCTGCTTGAAAATTCACTTAAATGATTCAGCGATTATCAAAATTGTTGGCAAAAAGTCAGTCAGTGGATTTACTAGTAGATAAATCATCTAATTTGATGTCACAAATCTCTCAGTATGTACAGCCGTATGGCGTTTCTTGTTTGTCTGTGTCATTGTGCTGGGGAAGCTTCAGTAAACCTATTTGTGAAGGTTTAGACATTTTGTTAAAAAAAAAAAAAACCCTAACCTTAACCCATCTCCTTCACCTTCACCAGGATGAAGGTTCAGGCCTTACCTGCTGGCTTGAATCTTCATCTTGAGTGTCAATTACTGGCTGTCTTCTCTGAGGCAGTCTTTATGGGACATTTGTGCTGCATTAAATGTGATAATTTCTTGTAATCTCAAGTTGTGCTTATTGTGGTTTATGTGAGTTTCAAACAGCCTCAAGCCATTTAAGGGCATTTACACTGATGTCACAGGACAAAAATACATATTTGCCTCTCTTTCGATGAAGATATTCCCTCAGAAGTTTGTTGTCAGGTAGAAAAATAGATCATTTTCATTCTGTACTGAACTTGAACTCACTGAGTTTTTAGACATTGATGCAATGAAGCCATTAAACTGAGATCACTAGTCTAGCAAACCTGCAGAGCTTCTCACATTGAGGTTGAATCTGTGCGTATTCCACTCACTTAGACAGGTGAAACACTACCCATGACGTAAATGGATTTAAATTGCTGAAAGCATTGTATAAGGGCACCCCTGTCAGTGTTACAGCAATTACTGTTAATTATTTTGACTAAACTCTGAACCTTGTCAAATTGCCTTTCCCAGGAGATTGGCCGGTTTGATGACAATGACAGTGCGGTTGGGGGTTTTAACCACAAAATTGGCCACAGATGCGTAATCGGTGAGAGGTGTTACCACAACACTATGATTTGCTGGTTGAACTAGAAAACCCAATATATCTTTTCATATCAATAGCAGCTGGCATTTCCATGTGGACTCAGTCAAGACTCTGATCTGTCTTAGATTTTATTAAACAGAATGCAATCTCAAAATCACTGATACATGCAGAGTATATGATATTATTTCTCTTTCCTGTTTTCTAGGTGACTGCCTTACAGCTGGGTTGGCTGCCAACACGCTGTGGGCTCCCACAGTAGCTGTTACTGTGGCCTTCATCCACAGTTGGCAGCTCATCCTCCTCATCCTGGCGTCCATGCCCTTCTTCTTCTAAGGCCAGTTTAATTCAAATGAGGACAGCGACGGGACATTCCTCTGAGGACCAGGTGACGCTGCAACAGTCTGCAAAGGTGCTAATAACATGACAACACAAAGCTGCACTCTGAGACACCGGGCCAAAATGACTCTGTCCATATTTAATGATTACTTTTTGGCTGTTTATATTTTAGTCATGTGTTGAGCCAGCGTCTTGAGTGTTTTTGACAGAAAATTGTGTTTTTTTTTCTCAAATGTTCAACTCTTAAATGTAAAAGATATATTACTTCACAGATTTTAATAGCAGGTTATGGTTCTGTGGTACGTTGCTGGTTTACTTTTTCCTTGAATTACACAATGTTTTCCTTTTTTTATGTCTAAAATAAACCAGTGTGAAATAAACAAAGAAAGCTAATAAGTCAAACCTTATGATGAAGAGAAAACCTGGCAATATAGCTAAGTATACATGTTTTC